AAAAAAAAAAAAAAATTGAGCCTAAAAAATAAAAAAATAATAATAAAAAATTTATTGTCAAAAAATTGGGGGAGGGGGTCCAGGTCCCCCCCAGGACGCCCCCCACCTCCGCCCCTGCTAGCTATACTCCTATCGGAATGTTATAAACCACAAAGAGCTCGATTTCTACGTTAGCTACCAATGGCGCTGGGACGTATGATTAGAGCATCACGTCTGAGGCTGACTCGGTGAGCCTCGACACTGGAGTTGACATGTCTGTAATCGCTTCTTATCAATTTTTTTTTATCTTGTGAAACAGGGATAGATTTAAATTTTAACTAATTGTGTTATACGATTACCAATTGATATTAAGCCGCAATTTATTTATGAAAGAGGGAATGGCCGCATGCTATACAAAAGACACTCGGGAATACAATTAGTTTGCCATAATCATACAACTCAACGGATGTGGTGGCAGTTGTTGCTGGTGGTGTAGCAGCCAGAGAAAGAAATGGGATTATGAAAGATGAATTTGATGTTTCTGGCGACTTAGAATTGATTAATTAATGACGACGATACTAGCGGTAGACATGGAAGCAAGGCAATAGATGGAAGAGGTGTGGTGATAGGGGTAGGTGGGAGTGAAATATTTTTTTAATTTGTAATTCTAATTTTTTAATTATTTATTTGAGCCTTGCTTTCATTATTTTGAAAATTTTGATTACAACTGCATTTGATTCTTTATTTTTTTCCCTTATTTTTTTGTTTTATGTAGAGATGAGTGTATATTCGTCATTTCACTAGACTTTATTGAGAAAATGGGAGAAAATGTTGTAATTCACCAAGCTTGAGCAATCTAAGGGGTATTTCGCCAAAATGAAAGATTAGGAGTTTTTCGCAATAGAGATGTAGATCAGAGGGTATTTTTTGCCAAATTACCCATTAGGTTGGGATCAATTACAAGTTTTGATTTAACTGATTTATTATTTTTGAAGGGTTTGGATGATTTCTTCCAGCACAAAACTTACAAGCCTTTTGGTCGAATTTTTTTCCTAGTATAATAAATGGAACACGAACAACAAATTAAGCCCTTGTTTCATAACCATTATTCAAAAACACTTTCTTACGTACTCATTTTCAATCACAATTTAAGCAATGTTAACTCAAATTTTTTTCCCATTTTTTAATCGCACATTTTCCAAAAAATTCACTATTCAAAACTTTGTTTTGCCAAATAATGGCCATCAAACAGGGAAGTTTTTCCCTTTAATTTTAAGTGGTAAAATGAACTCTTTTGAGACCGGTTTTTGAGACCGGTTAAGTATCACCCATTTTAAAATTAAGAAAAAAAATGTTTCAAATTTAAAAAAATCAGATGCTAATTAAAATTTATTTATGATTTAATTAATTAATTATATATATTAAGGTGACAAATTAATGATTTAATTAGTCACATATTATTTTTCAATCACAAATAAGAAATTTTATGTCAAAAATTATTTTACTTCACAATTCAAAAATTTTATAGGTCGCAATTTGTTCATCGATCACAAATCAAAAATTATACGTCACAAATCATAAATATTATAGGTCACAACTTATCATACAGTCACAAATTTTCAAATTATCGATCACAAATTAACAATTTTAAGGTCACATTATTTATTGGTCACAATCAAGAAAACAATTTGTGACCACCACCTCAACCAATAGTAGCACAGTCACCAATGCCGCACGTACCATCACCACCTCCACCATATCCTCAAATCAATTACTGTCAACGTCACCACCGTCGCAACCACCACAACCACCATCTCCACTCTTCACCACCGTAACCACCATCTCCACCACACCACCACCACCACCACTAACCAAAAAATCCCCAAACCTACCATCATCGCTGTCGATGTCACCGTTGCCGCCACTACTACCACCAGCACTGTCACCGTAATCTCTACCAATCCACAACCACAGCCACCACCGCTACCATTTCCATCACAGCCGCCACCACCAATTAATCGATCACAACCACCACCATATATAACCATCGCCACCGCCACTGCCACCGCCAACATGAATACCAGACCCTTCACCACCAACTTCAACACCACGTCATCGCACTGCCAACATCACCAACACTCATGACTACGGTGCTGCTTCAAGCGGCATGCAACGACAATCACGGGTTGCTCTGCGCGTTTGGTGGGGGAGGAAGAGCATCGACCAGGTGATGGATGAGAGAGAGCAGCGACGGTATAGGCCGCATCACGTTAGTAGTGAGAGGTTGCGCCGTTGGCAAAGAGGAAAGAGAGGAGCTGTCACAGATCGAACGATTCCACTAACAGATACAAAACATGATAGATATAGGTAGATACAGATACAAGAAAGGACATGGAGGAGAGTGGAGTTGTCAGACAGCGACGGCGGTGGAGGTGGCGACGCGAAGTGGTGGGTTGGTAGAAAGAGTGAGCAGAGAGAAGAGGGAGAAGAGGGTTGAAATTGGTTTTAGGGTTTGGGGTGGATTAGTTTAAATTTTAAATATTAATAATAATAATATTTAAATTATAATTATCATCTGATTTTTGAAATAAAAACTTGTAAATCTGAATTTTGAAATTGGAAGTAGAACATTCTAGTATTGTGTAATTTCCACTATCAAATATGGGCAACCCAAGAGAAGAAAACACGTCACAATTATACTCGCGGCTAGCGATGCCAAAAAAGCTTGGCAGCTCGGCGGCCCGAGCTCGGCCAGGGAAAAGCCCGAGTCGGGCTGGCCCGTCTCACGGGCCGGGCCGAGCCGAGCCGAGCCGAGCTGTTTTTTTATTTATTGTAAATCTTAATTTTGAATTTGAAAGTTTAAAACTCCGATAGCATGTAATTTCCACATCCAATTATGCGAGATAATATCACTAGTATAGAACCAATATACTCCTCAAATCAACTCAACACCAAGATGAGACATACAATATACAAAGGGGCACAATCGAAAATGACTTGTTAACTTGAAAGCCGCAAAAATTTCTTTAGATCCCTTTAATACGAGTTGATTTACAACATCCAATCCCTTCATAGGCGAGGAAATATCGAGAGGTCAATAAGAATATCACGACTCAAAAATTATTCACCCAAGCATATTAGCTTGATCATGAAATCATGCATAAGCACGACAGACGCAATCTTATGGAGCCATTTTTCACCTTACCTTGAACGAGCCACTCATCGACCTTCTCAATTCCCACAAAGGTAAGCACCCTTATAATGGTGACTGCAGAAACAAGGAAGATGTTGATAACTGTCTTTGCCTCTTTGAGATTGACAACATACAACTAAATGTATTTCTTAGCCTTCTCTTTTCATTATCATCGAATGCTTGGCATTTGTGACCGTGTTCCACCGTGGTAATTTTAAGGGCTTCCGGTAACACGCAGTTGAAGATGGAGCCTAGGTGAACAATAAATTGAATAAATGAAAGATACAGTCCTGATCTCCTGCTCCCACTGAACTGAATAAAAACTTCCCACGGCTAACATATCAAGAGAACCTCAGTTATGGTTATCCGAAATGATCATAAATTTAGAGAACCATAACTAAGGTTATCTTGCCACATCAACAATAAGAAGTTTTATCTAGTCCACTGGAGGGCACGAAATTAATTCTAATGAAAGATAGCTACCATTAGCATATAATTTTGACTTAGCATGTAAACAATTGAACAACTTTTCTTAAAGTAGCATGTGGTTGAAGAAGAGTACCTAATTTCGCAAGTCGATTTACCCATTTTGGAATTCTTTTCCCTGTCAACTTGTAACATATGTCCTTGCAGAAATGGTTACAGTTCTTGATAATCAAGTGATATGTATCACCGTTGTATTTTGCAGCTTCACGTTCCATGAACTCCCTAACCTGGGTGCTGTCCAAGCACGTCGTCCCAACGAATATCGACTTCCTAAACTTAAAACCCGGGCATTGTCGGGGTTCAACTTCAAACACCCCACTTGAAGGATAGTCATGAGCTCCGAATGCATACTCTACACCATGAACTGTAAAAGTACAAATATGCATAATTAAGAAAAATTATTGCTCCTTTTGGCAATCAAACTTTGCTATTATCACCTGCAGGTTTACAAATATCTTAAAACTCCCATGCTACTTAATAATTCCTTTTCAGTTTTAGCAAGTTAGTCGAGCAAAGTAATATTTTCATTTTCAGCACAGAATTTCATGACTATGGACGTTGTCGCATAGTATCACAACATGATTGCCATCACTGAACCTTATCATGGCATATCAAATTTTTGCGAGCTGGCCAGCAAGAGTAGCATAGATTCATCCTCTCTCTCCGTCAAGAACTCCTCGAAGAGATTGTAGCCCATCCGTGCCTTGGCCAGTTCGCTTTGTTAAGAAATAAGAAATGGGAACTAGACAAATTGAAGATAGTATATCAAAAAAGCAGTCAAATATACCTTCCACACCAGAGTGAAAAATACCAAGGCCAGCCCAATAGATATAACCATTCATGACTGTCAAGTCATACACATTGAGATAAACTGGAGTATTCCGGGGACCATAATTGGCTGGCTTGGCTTTGGGGAATAAACAAAAATGCGAAGCTGATTTTCCTTTCAAACGGAGGGGCACTATTGACTTCCACCCTTTCTTTGATCCTAATACCATGTTGCTTCTATAGGGGAAACGGAATATCAGTCGACACCCAATGGCATCTCGTATATCTGGACAACATAAGAAAGCACAAGTCCTACGAGTTTAGCTTCACACGCTCAGAGTCGACTGAACCATAGACAACAGTAATTTGTTTCCTATGAAATTTTTCACAAACATAAAAAAGGTATAAACTGTTACGATAATAAAACTTAAAAGGGAATGGTAATGAAGGTGAAAAGAAAAGGGAACAATGAAACTCAAAAGTGCAAATATAAACATCAGAAACATTGTTGGTTTGCAGAATATTATCACTCAATCTTCCTAGTTATCAATTGTGCATTCTAAGCACGTAAGGTAAAGAGGAATCATCTCATATCCAACTCGCGACAATATATTTCTCAGTAAAAATAGTGTGCACGGGCCTAATTTATTAAAGAGAACTGTTTAACATAGAAAGAAGTTCATCTGTCAGTTCATCAGTATTAGATTTTTTTATGAAGCTAATTCTTTAAATGACTAAACAGATTGCACAATGGCTTTTTCGATCTACCATTTTCCTATCAAAATGACTTAAAAGATAATGTTCAATACTTGTCTCATAAGTAAAACTTGTATTGGAATGGCTCACCGATGCAGCAACCAGGAAAGAAAAATAATAAACTTCCTGTAAGAAAATTCTCTAACTTCCGAATTAATTACTATATCTTTCCATAATTTTGCACATACAAAAGTTTCACAGATGACATCTAAAAACTACTGCACAAAGAGAGGAACATTTAAACCAAAGAAAGGACACTTTGAAAATATCTTAATATCAACTACAGTGACTAAGCACCATTCAAAACGACTCATGCAATCGAACTTCATAAAGTTTAATGCGGTCAAGAAATGAACAAATATAGAATCTGATACCTATATGCCAGACAAGGAAAAATTTTCATGTGTAAATTATTTTATTTGTTACATATTAGTTTGGCTTGTAGTCCGATCCTATAGCTAATAAAAGTCTATAAATTTTGAATAAACTACAAAAAAATCGAACAAGGTAATAGAGGAAATGTATTCGTAAAACGATATCTTAAAGTTGGTTAAGGAGCCAGAAAAATGCCCATATAAAAAAGATATCGAGATACCAGTTTGTATTGTCTCAACTCATTGGCCAGCAAGTTAAAGAATTCAATCAACAGTGAAAACAAAAGACAAATCTCAACTACATTGCAGATGTGCACACCTCAAAACTAGCATGACTACAAAGTTGAGCTTCCTTTATCACTGTATAACGTGCTAAATCCTCTACCATATATAATTACAAAATGATTAAAAATAATTTGAATGACAAGCATTATAATTGTTGTCTAAAAGAATAGATTTGGTCACCTTTATGGTAGGGGATAGGAACTAAGGGCTCGGGATAATTCCTCAAATTCTTGCCAATGACATATACCATGTGGCTGTAGCTAAACTACCTACATTAATGTCAAAACCCTTGAAATTTAGAATTTCTTCAACAAATATTAATTCCCGAAGCCACCCTCAACAATAAAGGACTAAGGGCTCCTTCGACATGACATTTGAAAAGTCAAATGGAGCTTTTGATATCCAAAAACTACTTTTGAACTAGTTTGGTTAATTTTATGAAAATACTTCCCGTAGTTAGAAGATCTTTTAAATGACGGGAATAGAAAGTGCTCTTAAAAATTAGTTTTCAATAAAAAAACTAACGTAATTTCCCTCAAAAAGCTGTTCTATAAAGCAAAAGTCGTACTAAATGGGAAACCTGCAAAATTCATACCAAGAAAACCCAAAATATGCAACATTATGTCAATAATAACAGGGATAATTGCAGCAAAGGTCTCAAACCTTTCAGATTTTTGCGCATTTTACCCTAACCTTTGATTTGTGCCAGCGGAGGTCCCAAACCTTTAATAAATATGCGGCTGAGGTCCAAATGGATGGTTTCCATCCATTTGACCGTTAGTCAACCCAAAAAGTCAAAATTAATTCAATTTTTACCAAATTGAAAAGGGCAAAATGATACTTTCAATTTTCATCATTTTAAATAGGTTTAAATATTAATTAAAAACCAAAAAATAAAAAGAAATTATAACCCTTCTTCCTCCCCAGGCTCCC